CCTTACATTTACATATTTAGATAAAATATCATAGCATCATTTTTTATTTGATATTTTGTATGTGACACTAGCTACTCTGTTCTTTGACCCTGAGAAATAATGTTTAGAAAATGCATAATTTGCTTGGTTTCAGATATTATAAAGAATATGTTATGTTTGTCAAAGGGTGGCAAGCATAAACAGCTGTCTTTCTATGTTAGGCGGGTTTCTTTGACAAGCCCTAAGGTTTTTATTCCACCTGTGCATTGTCTTAGGTTCTTTTATTATGTAACCTTTTTTCTTTCCTCATCATACGCACACACAAAGACATAAAGAATGGATTTCTGTTTGTTTGCTCACTGTCATGGGAAAAGCACCCTGTCTGACTTTGAGCACTGGAGAGCGACATTTCAGCACTGGACAGCGCCTCAGCAGCCAGACCAGAAGCTGTCTGATCCAGCCTCACTGTCCCATTCTGTCTGATGTCTCTGAACCTGACCCACACAACACTCACTTTCTCCCCTGTCTGACTGTATACAGGGACACACAAGGCATACATAACGTCCTGTAACACATCACGACGAGGCCTGTAAATACAGTGCAAGCCTGCAACATAGAGGGCGGGGAGCTTCCTTATATGGGGGGTTGGATTTCAAACACTTGGATGAAAAAATACAACCAACATGTCGGTGACAAATGTAACATACAGCCCACAGAGGGAGCAGACATGTCGCCCCAGCTCAATGGCATGTCGTGTGTCGGCAGCAACGTTTTAACACAAACTGACAGGCGAGGTTGTCACGGCTCTTCTTTCCTACCCCATTTATGTAATTGTATAAAACAAAAGGGGAGAAACAATCGACAGGGAGGTGGACATTTTACAGGTTCCATTTCCCCCTGAAGTCTGCCTGAAATATAGTGAGATATATAGCTGTACGCCCTCGCACGACAATCGACGACATACAGTAGGAGGCTAGGCTATCCCCACCCCCCGCTGTGGGTTGCAAATATCACGTAAACTAGGCCTAAGCCTACTTCAGAGCTAATAATATCATCGTCTATAAGCAGGTCTTTGGAGTGTTCGTCGAATAATGTCGACGCTATAAATGTTCAACCTGGTGCCCTTGCTGTTTCTTGAATTAGCTTAATCGTCACCTGTGGTCAGAAAGAAAAGGCCTGCAAATGTTGAGTAAGGACAACAGGGTTTTTGTACACGGTGTATTCTTCATGTGGTTTTAATTAGCCTGTGGGTAATCGCACACAGACGGTGTCCTTTCAAACCAAACCAGTCCAAACTGGAAAAGATGCGCGCGTGCTGGCTCCGGTCGGCGAAAAGCAAGAGACAGTTAAATAAAAAAAGGCACGCGACAGACAAGGAGCTAGTTTATCGTGTAAAAGCCGAAAAAATAAGCTTATAATGTGTTTAAAGGCGATACACACCCTCCGTATGCTCCAAGGTTAGGCCGACGCTTTAGCCTCTACATTTTACGTTCGGATCATATTGGATAAATAACAGGTGTAAAATGAAATTAAACAGCAGTATTTAACAAAGATATACTGACTAACGTGAGACCTTTTACATAACCCCTGTATTTAATGGAAAATACACACAAGAGACCATTCAGACACCATTAATCCCACGTAGCCTGACAACATCCGTCGTGAGGACGATATTCATTAATAAATTAGTATTTAGAAAAAAAGAGTGCCTTAACGATGTTGTACTCACATTTTCCTGGTTGTATTGGCTGGACAGCTGTGCTGAAATCCGGACTGGAAATGTAAGCGCTTAGTAAGTGGCTGGCTGGCAGATGGATGTGGATTGCCTTCTGCGCTCCGCTCTACCCTCTGGCTCCCTTTGGTTGGTTATTGTGTCGTTTCCCTGCCTATATAGCCTAGGAGGAGCACTGGCTTCTATCTGTACAGACTGAGATGCGTTTCCTCCTCGCTAAAAAAAATCTATTTTCCTCTTCCTATTTCTACGGCCGATGAGGCACCTGCAGGCTAATTCCGGAGCCCGGCGCTGTCAGAGTCCGTGCAGTAATGAAGGAGTAATACGGAGCCGCCTGGATTAGGTGGACAAAGATGGCTCAGTGACGTCAATCGCGGCGAGTTTCATGTTGAAATGGGTGACCACCGGAGACATCAAACACACCGTTTTATCGCCCAGAACAGCACTGTTTTTATATATTTAAGTGGCTAAGGGGACTCTCAGCATATTTCCTTTGCATGCATTACATGTCATGGTCTTCTTTGGGTTTAAAACTTCATTAAAGGGGCTTATTTTGACTACAAATCTGTGTGACAACAAAATGGCGTTCCTCAAAAGGGGGTGTGGCCAGCTTCTCAGAAGGTGTTTGGTTATCATTCATAGTAAATATGGACAGGGATGTAGTGGAGAGTAAAACCACCTGCAAATCATTTACCACCCTTTTGGTCGAGGAACAAGGCTTCACTGTTATTTCAGGTTAATCTGCATTACATCCAGTGTGCTGCTGTTAATTGTAAAACATAATTCTGACATAATTATATGTGGGGGTCATAGGTTCCATTTCTGCTCCTTTAGTAGATCCCCTAGCAAAGCAAAACAAAATCACATAATTACTCATAAACAATATATTCAAGGCAAGAAAAAAAACGAGAGGGGTACGTTTTCATTAATTTTGCATTTTGAGAATAAAGTCAAAAGGTTGATAAGGCAAAATGTTGAAATTAAATGTAACCATGGTTTCTTTGAATCTTTTACTCTTTCTTGTATAGTGGAAATTAAAATCACTAATTTTTTTCCCCCCTTAATGTCCATAATCAATTTCACTTGAGTTCGACTTCGGTCTGTACACAGCGTCCTTTGTTAACTAATATAAACTGTAATGTAACATTTTATTAATAACTAAGTAAAATGTTGCTTCACTAGCTGGTCAAACAAAGCATACACATATCAAGTTAACAATCCTGAAGACCTTTTAAGGCAAAATGTACTTTTCTTCAATTATGATCAGTTAAGAAACACACAAATCAAACTCTCCACCTGTAAGTTAACCCTTACAGAGGTTGAGGCTGTAATGTATTTGTTTGTTATTTAGTAAATTCAAAATGAGCCCAGATTGGGTTTTTCAAAGAAGCAGCACTAAACTGGAATTACATGCAATTGTAGCTAGTGCAAGTTGTAAATAACATTACTTAAAATACAAAAATATTCAACACATAACAAGGGGTTGTCCTGCATGTCACTGGAAGTAGACAGAACATGTATGCACACTGGCTCCATATGCATTTCACTTTAATATGGAAATGGAAATGGAGTGTGCAACGTTTTTTTCTATACTTAGTATTGTTATGTAAAAAGTAAGAAAAAACATTTGAAATCAGACAGGTGATCTTTTTACTGAACATGTCTATGAGTTCCTCTCCTGCTTTTCTTTGGCTATAAACAACACCATCAGCTGCTGTTTTTTTTTCACCTTATTTAATCCTCCATTTTTATAAATTATTCAAGCCATACAATTACAGAGCTTCACTGCAACTTTTTTTTTAAACACATAATGCAATCTTTTAACCATAAAAAGTGCCATCTGAACCCTGCCTGTACAAATGATGGATATTTTGTGTGGTTCCAAGGAGGAAGTGGTTTCAGTCTTTTGGTTCATTGGGTGACTCACACTCTTAAGAGCCCACATGGTGGTGCTATAGGACAGCTCTGTTTGAAAGCCTGCAACCAGTGTTGTTTTGAAAAGTGTGCAGTGTTACACACGTTCTGTATTTACAATGATGTCACACTAGTCAGTTTGTCTTCTCTTTGGGGGTTATCTGCAGAAATCCAACCCTGTTAGAGTATACTCTCGCCTTTAGAAAATATCAGGAGAGAAAGCAGCTAGTAAATGTTTCGAGAAGAAATCTGGAATTATAAAATCCTTTTTATGCAACATATTTCATATTTGTATACCTGGTTTTGAATGTGGGAAACACAATGCTAAGTAAACGTTTTATATATTGTATTTATGGAATCCTTTAACTCATTGTTTTTATTCTGGAAAATTTCAATTTAAAACAGAATAAAGCTTTGTAGGTCATATTAATATACGTTTCCTAATAACATATGCTAATCATCCATCTTTTCTGAGCTTTATGGCAGGAAATAAAGAAACAAATGTAATTATTTAAATGATGATTCGGAAATAATTGTTCACGTTGTGGTACAGCATCCGTTGTTATTGCACATCTGTTGGCAGTTAGTCCAACACAACACACCATAACAAAAATGAACAGTTGCTCGACGATGTTTTTTCTTCCATTGCTCAACGCAAATCACTTTAATATACTTTATATTAAATGCACATATAAAAAAACAAGTCATACTTGAATTTTAAATTTGCAAATCAATAGTTTTCATTATATATATATATTTGGATTTGAGTAAGTTCCCAACTCCCACAATGCAAACAGGAACTGGCAACACTGAGAATAAATTCATTGTCATGTATAACCCGTAACTATATCTCCCACACTGTGATGAGGGGAGAATTGTAATGTGTGGGCGTTCCAGCTACATCACTTTTATTGTAGAGCTCAGATAGGCAAGTCTCGATCTATAATTGATCAAAGCCCTGAGCTGTGACTTCTTTTGGAAAAATGTATGCAGACATGACTCATTCTCCCTCACACACACAAAAACACACACACACACACACACACACACGCACGCACGACAGAGAATTCTTTATAGCCCGCATCTAAAATGTGAGATTTGAAGTATGGAATATTCTGCTCAGACATGATGAACCATGTGGACAGCAAACATAAAAAAAACAAAGTCTAGTCTAGACAAACTGGCTATATGTCATCTAAAACTATAAAATAGTATAAATATCAAATCTTGCATTACAGTCAGTGACACTGCCATGTTTGTTCCTGTCTTATGTGGATAAAGTTGAAGGAACTTTGAAGATTTGTCTTTGACATAAAACTGCCATATTTTTCCTAAAAGGCTCCAGAGAAGATATTTTCACACAACAGTCAAAGAATGAGTTTCAACAGAGCTGGGACATTTATTTTTTTGTTTAAAAGTGCCTTTACAGTACCCCATGAGGTATACCATTTTGATGAGACAAGACAAGTGAGGTTTTGAATGACGGACAAAAAGGCATGGTGTAGAAGACATTATAGTCGTATGGAGTTACACACACTGAACAAACCGTTTCAAGATCTCAATTTCATGGCACAATCTAATGAGAAAACAAAATAACAGACAGTGAATCCAGAAATATTGTTTAACATGATAAAATCCTCTCATTTAAAAAGAGGATTTCATTCACAGTTGTGGTCCTATTTTGCATTTTCACACGTTCCCCAACAATCGCAAAGATGTGCATCACCAAAACTACCCATCGACCTTCCAAAAAACCTGAAGCACACGGGCCTACACAATCAAGCAAAACAACCCTGATGAGGTTCTAAACATCTCCACATATTGCTTTTTTTTGGTTGCATTTGTGCAAAAAAGAAAAATCTCAGTGACAATTAAAAAAGGTAAACCCATACACACCTGGGACATCACTAACTCGTGTCGTGTAAGGAGTGATATTGCACTGCTTTTTTAAAACAGAAAAGGTATTACTCTGGTGCCGGACCTCTGTCAGTACACCCAGGATACAGGCACCCATTGGGGGGTGGAGGTGGCCCGCTCCATGGCCTCCTCCACACCTTTCACGCTTTCATCCACGTCGTTGTTGACGAGAACCACATCAAAGAAGTGTCTATATGTGGCCAAAATGGCGTCCGACTCTTTCTGGATCATCAGCAGGTTTTCCGTCTAGTAGGAAACACACAGAGGGTTAGCAGACGCAGGATGGTGTTAAAATGACTCGAGTGTATTCAGATAAAGATTCAGCACCTGGGCAGATGTGGTGGTCGGAGCGATGAACACCACCAGAGGTGCAAAGTCAGCCGTCCGCAAGACTTTCAAGGTCTAAATGTTGAAGAAAGGGAAAAGAGAATTTTGTTAGCATAATTTACCCTTTTACAGTACCTCACCAGTTTCAAAACACAGACGTCATATCATTCTTTTCATTTTGGAAGCTCAACCACAGCTCCTATTCTAATGTGTCTAAACATTTTTGTAGCTTTTTCTTTTCAATAAACAACCTACATGGCCTTTAAAGGGTTAAAATAAGTAACATTTGGTAGGTATTATCCGGACTGATGTAGGAGCCAGAAATGTCAGTGTTGGGATATCTGAGGTATGATTTATTTGGGTGCTTGATTGTTTATACTTTTTGCATTGGGCTTTGTTTATTATCTTATTATTTCTGGATCTATTATGGGATAGATCAGTTTGGTCATATGGGTATGGGCGGCACCCATGGGTAATATAATCACCTATTCACCTGTGTGAGGTGTGTGGGCGAGAGAGTCGCTCTATTTTTTCTCAGCTCGATTATTCAGACAGTATAATTGTGTGCAAATTACAATAACTTGGTGATCTTTATTAAAGTAAGCTTTTTGTTCAACGCATTTTGGATACCAGACTTCATGATGGCGTGTCTGACAAAGGCTACCAGGCCCGAAAAGTATTTTCCTGCTGACGCTACAACTGGTGTTACAGAAAAAAGAAAAACAATGAAAATAACGATATCTAGTGTTTTTATGGCAGTTCAAGATGTTCTTCTAAGGTTACATAATATGCATTAAGGTTAGGGTTATGGATTAAATGGAAATGCATTAGAAATAAATGATCTTGGTTTAATCTTTAACACATCATGAAAATAATAAAATAATTTAATGTAAACAAACTGGCATTAAAATATTTAAATAAATACATAGTTTGGTAGTTATGATCAGGACTGAATGTGGATCCATTATTTAACAAAAATATTTTAATTTATAAGTTTTGCTAGTTTTGTAATGGGATATTTTTTCTTATTAAAAAGTGAGGAACAGACGGTTTATTACATGGAAACATATTTAGCGTGCTATTTACTTTCACAGGGTGCATATTTTTATCCATAACAACATTTTGGGGGGAATTTTAATATTGCTTCTCAGGTTATGCAAGTTATTATCCTCTTTGAAAGGTCACCCTTTAACTTTATGTAACTCTGGGTAAAGTAAAACAAAAAGTAAAATGTCCCTCCATCACAGCTGTGTCATGTGATGTCTTCAGAACAGTCGATGAATGTGTACCTGCGGTTCTACATCCAGCAGAGAGATTTGGTCTTGCTCGTGGATCTTCTGGATGGTCTCAATTTTGGTACCGAACATAAATCCCTGGTGGCTGCCGTACTCCAGGAGCTCATTTCCTGAGATGCACTTGGTCATGGCTTCGTTGGAGATGAAGTAATATTCCTGTCCATCCTCCTCCTCTTTACGTGGGGGTCTGGTGGTGTCTGTGGAAAAGGTTCAAAGACTTAGCTAAAGGACTTTTCAGAAAATGTTGTTCATCTAAGGAAAGGAAAAAAAACCTGTGGTTGTACATACGTGGTGCAGGGTAGGAGAACTTCTCAGGGTATTTGGTCAATAGTGCATTTTTGATATGGCTCCTTCCTACGCCAGGTGCACCTAAAAACAGAAGCATGTTTTTATTTCCAATGACATTTCATGTAACATTTGAGGTTTAATTAGAGTGATGTGCATTTTCAAGTAATATTCTTGAAACACGTGTTCAGTGTTGATGATCAGAAATGCCTTATTTTGCCTCTTAGAATGTTATATACCACTAATAAATACTGTAGCTTACCGATAAGCACCAGTGTTTTCCTTTTGAAAGCAGGGAGCCGAACAACCTCCTCATAAGAAATCACATCCAGCTTGTCAAAAACTGCAACAGAAAATATTTAGTTTTTTTACAGACAAACCCACACTGCAGTATGAATAAAGAAAAGATCAAGATTCCTTTGAGACACTCACTGGAGCTGTGTTTGGCGAGGTACTTGTCTTTGCACTTCTTTTTCTTTCCAAACGGGCTGCAGGACTGGCTGCCCTGCCTGGCCTTGCTTTTACTCGCCACCCTCCTGCATGGGAAGAGAGATTTAGTTCAAGGTCAATCAGTGCTATGCTGATGTTGCACTAACATAGCCATACTATACTGTATATGGAAAAGTCAAACATTTGCTTTGAGACAGTAATAATCCAAAAAGTAATAAGGGATGCACTACTCTGAGAGTTTGCAGATGCTGTATGATGTCCTTTTGTTGTTCTATTTATGTTTTATGTTTCATGTGGAACTACTTGAGCAGGTCTCCCTTAAAAAAGAGATCAATGATCTCAATGGGATTCATCTGTATAAATAAAGGTTTGAAATGAAATGAAATGACAACAGATCACACACACCATATGTTATCACAATCATGCATAGAATTAATAATTTGCCATTATTAATTTACTACCAATTTTAGTATTAGTTTGTACTGCAGTTCTCTGTATGGTTTGTCCAATTAGATTTGGCGTCACCCAGCAGAGGCAGACGCTACACTGCACACACTACACTACATGTCACTTGTTAGACGCTTTTATCCAAAGCGACTTACATACTCAATACTGTGGGCAATCCCCACAGGAGCAATTTGGGGTGAAGTGTCTCAGGGACACAACTACATGCTGACTGCAGTGGGGTTTGAACCTGTGGCCCCTGAGCCCAACACCAATGCACAACCCACTGCACCACACGCCTCCCCGCACACTATACTATATTTTCTACCTCAGTATTAAGTGAACATTAATTTATGACTTCATTCTTAAATATTATAACTTTATTCTCATTGAATGAGGACTTTTTTCTTATAATATTGTCACTATATTGTCAAAATATTACAATATCTCAGAGAACACAGATATAGAGGATATATTTATAAAGTGCAGAACGTTTTGACTACTATCTTATTTTTAGCTGGAACACATGTTATAGCTATAAAAAGTGTTTATAAATGATTTAAAATGAACTATTGTATCGTTGTCATAAATAGATGTGACATTTCATTTAAAGTGGTTTCCCCAGCTAAACTACAAACACAAAAGAGGGGAGAAAGAGTAAATCATTCCTACATGCTGAATGTGTCAACAGATATATAGTAATGAGAAAAGTAAATCCACAGAAGAAAACATATTTGAAAGCCATAAAGGATGCTTGAGATTTTACTGTCACCTTCATTTGTGTTTTCGTATTGCGTAACTAAAGTTATTTACAATTTAAATTGGTGCCTACAAATTACCAGGGCCCCCGAAATTAAGCATTTGATGCTGTTCCCGGTGCAGAATCCCCTGTCCAATATGTGCCCTGTCAATGTTTTAATGAGACCTACGCCCTTGACACATTACATTAAGATTCAGATGGTTTGACAGAGCTGTGTACCATTCCTGCAGCTCCTGGGAGGGGATGAGTCCGGCGAAGTCAGCCACGCTGCTTTCCACTTTGCCCTGCCACCAGTTAGGGTCCTGCTTGTTGATGATCTGGATGATGTCACCAGTTTCAAACTTCAGACCTGCCTCTTTGCACGGGATGATGTCATCCTTAGCGGGGTCATAGTCAAACTGGGCCCGCATGTACACCTGTGGATGAAGAGTGGTGTTACACTTGGTTCCACTGTGGCAAAGACAAACATCATATACCTCAGAGCTTCCAACAACTAAAGATGGTGAAAAGATATTATCGTTTGGTTGATTTTTATATGAACAGAAGATTGATCTCCTTGTTCCTATGTTGTTAGCAACATGGCTACCGCTAGTAGCCTAGCTAACATTAGTCCCAAAGGCAACCTAAAGAATCCCGAAGAACAAGAAACCCAGAACTCAGTGCAGAGAAAAAGACCCAGTAGTATTAATAAGAAGGCAAGTTATTTATGTACTCGCTTATTAGAAATACAAATGTTTTATCACCAACTCTTTGCCTTTTCTTCCTCGTAAGCTCTTTGGCTCTTTTGCCTGGTAGAGTTAACATTACTCTGGTTGTTCTTAACTGGGGATAGCAACCATAAACTAAATTGTCGAGTTGGCCCCTAACTAATTGCTCTGTTATGATTAGTCACCCGCAGAGATGTCCCACCCCTTAGCCTATCAAGTACAATGTGTTGGATTGCTAGCCAATAGAAGAGGGAGAGTCCCGTAGTGATGTCACTATGTTACTGAAGTAAACAAGGGACTACAATGGAGGCGTTTCAGCAGTGGCGGCTGGTGGAAAATATTTTTGGTGGGACTGTTGATATAGTGAGTAAAAACATTTTTTTTGGGAGAAATTACCCCTTAAATTGGGACTTCTGGTGATGTAATGGCCCCATAAAATCGTGGTTCTAGGGCCAGGAACAACCAGGCGGAGTCGGGCTGAGTATGCTAAACTAACTGCGGTCAAGCCAGCCCTCGCGTGATATTGCGGTGCGCGAATATCCTATGCATTACGGTAGATTCAAACAAAATCATCCCTCTGTGTTTAGATGAGAATAAAACAAAAACTGTCCAGTATCAAAGACTCATTTCACTTCAGAGTGATAGCAGGACATCCCATCTAGTCACTCAGAAAAAATCAGGACATTCTGATGTAGAGTTTCAAAATAAAAGACCTTTGAAGTCTCATATATGAGCTATCATCCCTGTTTTTAGATGAGAATAAAACAAAAACTGTCCAGTATCATAGATCCATCTCACTCCAGGGTGATAGCAGGACACCCCATGTAGTCACTCAGAAAGAATCAGGACATTCTGATGTACAGTTTCAAAATAAAAGACCTTTGAAGTCTCATATATGAGCTATCATCCCTGTTTTTAGATGAGAATAAAACAAAAACTGTCCAGTATCATAGATCCATCTCACTCCAGGGTGATAGCAGGACACCCCATGTAGTCACTCAGAAAGAATCAGGACATTCTGATGTACAGTTTCAAAATAAAAGACCTTTGAAGTCTCAGCATAATTACCTGTAAACTCGAGGCACTGGGCAGGCGCTAGTTTTTCATTTGGGGGGGGACCCAGTAAAGTGGGAGGTGCTGCCTACCTGTTGCGTCTTGAAGGGACTGCCAATGTCCGCACCACTCGTGCGCAAGGACGTGGAGGGAGGGAGAGAGGAGCATGAACGTTCACAGTCTAACTCTCACCTGATCTTTTTATGGTGTTTGTGTTGTGTATTCAAGCATATATTGTGGAAAGGAAACTTTGTAAACAGCAGCTAGATTACTACATTGATGTAATCTTTTTAAATATGTTTAAAAAACAGTAAGAAGCAACCCATAAAAAAGGCATGTTGTCGCCCGCGCGCGCCCCGCAGAAAGCACGCTCCGCCACTTTGAATGTCTAGTGCGCCCTTTACTCGGACAACGCCGGTAGTAAACAGGCTACTGCCAATAGGGAGAAGCACTCTCTCCTCGCGCAGTATGACAACAGGCAAGACCAAGCCAAGAAGTAAATTTTAAACATAAAAAAAAAATAGAAAAAAAAAAAAAAATAAAAAAAAAAAACGAATTAGATCTCTTCTACCTGTGCTAACCTGCCATTGTTATTATGGGAATTGCTGCTGAAGAGGACGTAGCCGGGCTCACTCTCCTTACAATAAATACATATACAAGAAGCGTGCCACACATATACATATATACTCCCTTGCTTTCACCTCGCACCTCAAGCCATACTTGGCTGTAATCTAAGACTCGCCCGTGTTAAGCTACTTGAACATAAGACTTGAGGATAATAAGGGCTATATATACACATTGGACGATACACGAAATATTCAGTCTATCTCTCATTCGGCACATCTGATGAGATGTGTGTTCTGATGTTATTTGCTCTTTAAAAACATATTTTCAACAAGCTGAACTCCATTGGTTCTCTGCAGGATAGAACATTTGCTTTTCTAACAATGTGCGCCTCGTCTCTCCGCTCTCGCGTGAGAGTGGTCGCAACTCTGTCTGTACATTAGTTTTTTTTTCAGATACACGAAGGGTAGATCAAGGAAAGAGTCCTGTTACATTCTGAAAATCAGTAGGGACGGAATTGGCTGACGGATCCCAAGAGGTGTGGCCTGCAACGGGGCTAACCTAGCACTCACACCAGGCTTGCCACTCAAGAAGGGTCAAAATTCAGAAAGCGACAGAAAATAGAACTCAGATATACAACCGCGATACTAGCCTGGAGTTCTGCATTTTTACTTGCGCGCTGATACTGCGTATCTTTGGTCCTCATTCATCTCAAGACTAAACGTGATAAGGACTCGCAGACAAGATATTTCATCACCTTGCCTTACTAATTCATGAAACGAAGGCACTGTAATTAGTTATAATAATAATATAATCTTGTTGACTTTATACTATTCCATCATTATATAGATCTTTCGGCCGTGCACATAAGACAAGCTGTTATGTATTTGAGACTATTGTTATTCTTAACGTGATCAGATAGTAGGAGGAATTACCAAAACACAGCAGTCTCGGATGAGCTGCATGTGAATCTTGTGAAGGGTAGTTGGAATGCGTTTAATTCACTTTTGATATTGTCATTGTGCTGTTCAACATTCTACATGGCACCAAGATATTTATTTTATTCACAATGAAATGGGAGGAAGCTGGAAACTTACAACTTTAAATGGATCCATGCTTTCTTATCACTTGAACTTGACCCCAATTACTTCATGCATTGATATATGGAAGCTTTCTGAGAAAAAGTTCACCCTTTAGAACTGAAGAACTGTGAAACTGTCCTGTTAATTTGCTTCCATAGTCGTTGATAAGTGTGGTTGTAATGCATTGCGTAAAGTAGACAGATGTATGAGGCGTGGAATTGTCTGGTTTATAGCCATTTCTTCAAGTATACTATTATATTAGTGTTGCCTTAGTTCATCAGTTCTGGATATGGTGAAATTAATCTTCGGGGCACTGCCGCTCGCGCCTCGCTGCTCTGCTCTGGATTGTGCCGCGATGTGTGTTCGATAGCCTGTAATAGCGTACCGGTGAAGAGGACAAAGAGTCATAAATGTTCATTCTATCCTCAGGTTTTGTCACTAGAGCGCTCCTCAGACTCTAAAGACACTATCTGCGGATAAAGGCACGAATACACAGTTTGCCTATCAGGGCTGCATGCATCTGTGTATGCTATGGTTACGCACTATGCGTACTTAGTATTTTGAGTCTGTACACATAATTCAAATGCTTGTTTGTGCTACTATGTTATTGGTACCTGGATACGAATTGATATGCCGGTGGTCGTAGGGGCGCTCATAAAAAAGCGTAAATGTGAAATAATTTATGAAAAAAATTAATACACATATTGTGATATGTGTAGGGAAGAGTTGTGTTTATCGGAGGGCTCGCGG